ACATCACATGCTTAATACAAGATCACTCCACCAAGCGAACATTACGTTCCAGCACTAAAGGGCTTCTTCAAACCCCTAAAGCATTCACACAGTCATATGGCAAATGTGCCTTTTCATTTGCTTCTCCAACCAACTGGAATAACATCCCATTACACATCAAACATGCAACTTCCATCATTACATTTAAATCTCTTCTCAAAAGCCATTTATTTAACTAACTTATGTTATGGTTTATAGAATGGCCCCGAAACTGCTAAATACCGGGATTGTGTCTGGCGGGGGATAGTTTAACTAATTGTAGTTAAGAGTAATATACTGTATTTAAGAGTAGTTAAGCATAGCTTAAGGTAGTTAGGGACGTCCTGGGTACGACATTAAACTCAATCCGGTCGAAGCGTCGGCGTCTAAACTGACAACCCTCTCAAATGTCTTAGTGGCTGCTGAGGGGAGGTGTTTATGGTCACCCAGCAGCAAGAAAAACCAATAGCTGAACAAAGGGCGGATGAGCTCCTCGGAGTCAACGGCCAACCATTAATTAGTTTAAGGAATAGGAGTAGTTTAGTCTCATTTTTATTGTTATTATGATTATTTTTATTTTATTTTATTGTTACTATTTTATTGTTATTTGCTTTTTTTCAGTTGGCCTACATTATTTCTCTGTAAAGCGCATAGGGGCAATGTGCAATATGCGCTATATAAATACAACATTATTATTATTATTATTAAAATCATATTGTTTTCTGTATAATCAACTTTAGAGTAGTACTGTTTTATATTATATATTTCTTTCATAAAATGTATATGGCTAGCACGACGATAAATAAAAGATGCTTCGTTTGTGAGTATACTGATTGTAGACTTACGCTGAGCAAACACTATCAAGTATCTATAGTCACACTTAACAAACAATATAAATCATGTATGATTTTTGTACAATCCGCATTAGAGTAGTACTGTTTTATATATTAGATATTTCTTTTATAATATGTTTGATCTTATTTCAGTAGTAAGTGTATCCCTGACTTTAGAAGAGCTTTCAAACAAGCTAACACGACAGTATTTAAAATTTGTGTAATTTTGACCTTTGACCTCATTTGGTAATGTGACACTTTTTTAACGGCGGATAAGTCCGTAACAGATTTTTTAGGTATAGGTGTAATGGAGAAAAGTGATCAGTGTATAATTAACTTTCTAATGGTACATGAATTAATCAGAATCTTGAAATTCAGAATGGCAGACCTTTCGCGCGTGAATCAGATCACGTGACCAAACTTTTGTTTTCAACCATGCGCCCATATACACCTGTCTTTGAAAAGAGATTGAGTACACGCGAAAGTGCACACGAGACTTAACTCAGCTCTTAGTTTTAGCAACGCATCTCATTTAAACTGTTGCTTTTCACATATAAATCATTAAATAATAAATCACCCTCATACATATCCAACCTGATTAAACTTCGCTCCACCACTTGTTCTAGAGCTTTAATATCTACATCTAGATTATTATTATTATTATTATTATTATTATTATTATTATTATTATTGTTATTATTATTATTATTATTATTATTATTATTTATTATTATTATTACCGCCGCCACTGTATTCTGCTTTGTTACGTGGCTAGGCACTGTTGCACTATAGAAACAAAGCTACTGTAGTGGGTAAAACATCAAAACAAACCGCTAGGTTGCAGTTCTTTCACATAATAATCAGCCTCCTCTCGAATAAATGTTGACAGTTTTAAAACTTCTTAAACTTATTTATTTGTAAATTGTATTGTAAAATAACTTTACAAAACGCCTTGGTAAATATTCCTTTAATTAAAAGTAAAAATACTAGATTAATGTTTATACATAATGAGGGGGGGGGGGTAGGATGACAAACATGGTTTTGTCTTTTACAAATCATGTGTTGTTAGATAAACTTTCGTCTATTAGAAGACATGATTTGTCCCTTACAAACATGGTTTTGTATGAAAAAACAGGTAGTATTTTGTTTGGCTCCCCGTATCCAGAACAGTTTGCTTTAATACACGATAATTCTCTTTACTGATTTATGAACACAACGCTTTTCACGAATTTTCAACTTGAACTAGCTACAAACTAAAAATACATCTGAGCACTTCCATGAAATGCTAAATTTACATTTTTGCCTTAATATGCTTAAACAAAGTACCAGGATCGTATGTTATATTTTGAATAGACCCTCTAGTTTCCTAAAGACTTACTAGATTTAAGTTTAGGGATATGTTTGTGTTTAGTTACGGTACTTTGTAATGCGCTACAGTCCATTGTTCCTAAATAAATGCAAATGTGCTAACCCCTATAAAACATTTCCAAATCCAATTCTAATACAGTCGAGTCCGCCAAAGTTGACTCTGTTTAAGTCAAAAATTCAGTCGAATCTTTGAAAAATTCCCAATTCTTTCCTATGTATTACTGTGTAAATTGTTTGTTTAATTCGAATTTTTATAAGTCGAATTTCGGCTATATCGACGGAAATTTCCAGTCCGGATAGGCTGATATTAAAGTAATTTCAACCACACAAGTCGAAGTTCCAAATTTTGTAGCGCACGTGGGAAAATACACAGCCGTGAAAAAAATACAAAGTTCAATCCTTGTTGTACGGCAACAAGTTAGCCAAGTCAAAACTAACATCTCGGACAGCGCGATGTGGAACTTGGGTCACACGATCGTATGACGTAAGTTGCAGTCTATACTCTCACAATTATACAGACACCCCTCCGGACCGGCTCCAATGTTCAGTTTGTCGTCCAGTTCAGTTTATAGAACTTGTATTGAACCCATTTTGAACAAGATTGTTGTAGTCGGGCCTAGCTATTTAATTAATTTATCAAAGCCCTGAATTCTTTTGACTAGGCCTAGCCTAGCCTACGCAAATTCAACACATTATTTAATAATACGTACAGTTGTTTTGCTGTACTGCTCAGAAAATTTAATTATTACCAATTTTTGTGTCCGAACCACAAGGTTCGATGTTTAGCGAACCGCAATGTTCGATGTTTTGCTCGCTGTTGAGCGCTCGCTGTTTTTTTTTTTTTTTTTTTTTTTTTTTTTTTGGCATTAAATGGTTATCCTGAAATTTTACCTACGTCTTATCATTCCTCATTTATGTCAATCTAAGAGTGACAAATACAACACTGGCGACGAGGCAGATTTAGAAACCCTTGCCCTAGAAGTACGCATGTGAGTTGGCCATTAGCTTAACTCTTTTCATAGCATTGAAGAGAGTAAGTGCAGCCGTTCGTTGGGAATCCGTACCTTCATAGTTCGTCGGCGTGGTGTCCTGCAATACACAGCACGGAGTGCACTTGACTGCTACATAGCAACCACATAGCAACGGCAGAAAGCTAACGGTAGGCTAGCTTAGGAAGACCCATCTATAGATAGGACGCTACGTAGGCCTAGTATGGCTACAGCTATAGGAAATATTGATGTATTTGATGGAAGCGTGGAGTCATGGGACGTATACAAGGAACGGTTATATTATTTTGCTAATGATATAGAAAATGT